TATATATTATATATATATATATTTATATATATTATATATATATATTTATTTATATATATATATATAATAATTAATAATTATATAATATCATGAACGGCATTTATAGAGTAAAGTAAATGTGACGTACTTCTGATATATTCCTCACATCGCCTTCAAGGCACAAAAAGAGGCAATTGACACAAAGCAGAGCAATAACCAAGTGGCTCAACATTTTATGTCTGTCCGAGTTTCTTATATCTCTGAAAAGATTGATCATGCAAAAATTATAGTGAATTTGGTCTCATTCGAAACTCTTCTTTGATATTTCTCTCTATGAAATTTAAAATTTAAAGAACAAAATGTTCTAGATAAGAGGCCCATGGAGGGAATCTTACAGATGAAAGGTCTATATTACATCCTGAGGTACAGAACTTTATTTATGGCACCTCCAATTAAATAGGCGCTATCACAGTTAAAATTAAATGTAGTGTTTTTTTTTGTTTTTTTTTTCTTTTTTTAAATTCTCAAATAATTTGGGGAGACCCGGGCCATCTGCCATTTAATCCCATTGAATTTTCCTCTGACTGAGCTAAAGTGATAACATTCCACAAAAAAAAAATGTTTAATAGAAGGAATCTGTAGGCCTTGATATAGAACATATTAATGCAGGTAAGTATTAAATACACACTATTGAATTGACTTACTCCTTCATGTTCTCTCTGATATTGCATTGAATTTAGGATTACATAGATGAATTGTCTTCCAACTTACTTTAAACCGTAAATGATGATAAGAGTAATGGCGAGAAAAACACTCGAAATTGCAACTCCGAAGTTTGTAAGCTGTGCCAAATTATTATTCTCACTTATCTAAAAGGTAATAATTGATTATATACTTCATATTAATGTAATCGAATTGAAGACGAACAGAATTGAGATACAAAGAAAGATACAATTAAGCGCTGGCGATGTTATTACTACAATACTTATGTTTAATATAGGATCCATGTATTTGCAATCCAGCACAAAATGCGATCTTTTCCATGAACTATACATCGTCGTACTTTACTGCACGCAGATAATAGGCCTACTTCAACGCCATTACATCCTAGCATGGACCTTACAGGTCCATGATCCTCAGTACATTACTAGCGAACAGCCAGTGATGGTGCATCCCCTCCACCCCCACCCGTCCCCGGACAAGCATTGAGATCATTGTCCGACGCCGACGAGGTCATCCAACTATTTAATTTTCCGATCCAAACAAAGTCATTGTGTTTTCCAACCCTAAATTGTAGTCTAAAGCTACAAATTAGGCCATTCTAGACCATAAAATCTCTCGCCATGAACCCCACTTATTCCGGGACCCTGACTGAGGTTTTAGGCCTTTTGGTTCAGCGCGAATTGAACTCTTACCTGCTCAGGTTTCATCAAAATGACAAATGATGTCAGGTGATTGCATTTACACGTCACGTTGTTCTTGGAGTCAATATTATATATTGTTTCACAGCCCTCTGTTGACCACACACTTGCGAATAAACAGTAAGAAATGTAAATAATATAAATAGAAATGAATACACATAGTTTTCAATCAACAATCAAACATTTTTTTTATTATTGACTTACAGCCGCACCTATATATTAGAGCGTATCTGACGTTATTTTAAACTGTTCAACCATGGTTATGACGATCGCCTTGACCAAGAGGTTGCAGTTTCGAATACCGTCATAGGCATTTTATTACACAATTTCAATCTTTCTTTCTTTCCTTATTAATTTATAGGACAGCAATCGTTGAGAGCTATGCTACACGATGTATTATCATGTCCCTTATTCGAACACTGTATTTACTTTTCTTTGTTGATTTACTTTTCTTTGTTGATTTCTACTTGAATTATATTATATGCTATTATTTGTTTCCAGTCGTACCTCCTATTGTGTAATAGAGAGTACTGCCGTTATTTGAAATTGTTCAACAATGAAGCCCCTGTATTCTAAAGGTTATGAAGCTCGCTTTGAAAGCGAGAGTTCGCAGGTTCGAATCTCGTCAGAGACATTTTATTACATAATTTCTTTAGTTATTTATTTATTATATATTTACAATCGTTGAGAGCTATTCTACATGATGTATTATCATGTCCTTAATTCGAATACTGTATTTACATTTCTTTGATAATTTATATTATTTAACAGTTTTAAAGGCTATCTTGATTTATATTTCAGTATATGCAATTATTTGTTTCCAGTCGTACTTATTGTGTAATGTAATGTATCTGGTGGTATTTGAATCTGTTTAACCATAAAGCCTCCGTGGTCTAATGATTATGACGCTCGCCTTGACAGCGAGAGGTCGCAGGTTCGAGTCCCGCCAGAGGCATTTTATTACAAAATTTCTTTATTCATTTATTTACAGGACTACATTCGTTGCGAGCTATGCTAAACGATGTATTATTATGTCCTTTATAAAATATAGATCTGGGTCTATACATTGCACACAGTTAGTGGAACAACAATACAAATATATATTTTAGGGTAATCATTCAACAGCAAATATATATTGATATAAAAATAAAAGTTAGGCCGACATCCCATGCTAGAACGGCATATTCAATATTGAAGAGATCTCATACACTTAAAAAAAAAAAAATTACCACTAAAATTTTGCCCATACGCAGTGTTCTTATTTTTTGGCCGATTTCAGGCTCACAATCTTATTATTTTGTTCTTATTTTACACAATTTTCAAATATAGAAAAGTATCATTGTACAGCAGTACTACTGTACTGGAATGTAGATAAAAAAAAATGGCCCCTGAAATAAGGCCCCAGACAAACGAGCAGTGAAAATAGCCACAAATGAGAGATTATAAAGGGTATTACATAGTCACACCTACTGCAAGGTTCAGATAGGTACAGATATATTTTTTTGGTTCTCCTATTAAAAAAAATGATTTGACATTTTACCTCAACCTTAATTTGTTCTTTTTTTTAAATTTTTAAACAATTTTAGCGTCAGTGTTCTTATTAAAATGTGTTCTTATAAAAAAGAAAAGAAAGGAAAATGTGTAGGCCTATACCATTTTTCAAATTGTCAACATGTCATCATTAGAAGTTTAAACTTCTTGAGTAGTTTTAGCATATACAGTTTCTTATTTGCTCTGTTAAAAATATAATTTATGTGTCCATCCCACTTGAGATTGTCGCTTATAGTTACTGTAAATACCTTAACATTATTAACAGTTTTAATGTTCTTGGAATTAGTAAATCAGGATAGTTTCCAGGGAATTTTGCGATTTCAATGTGGAGAGTAGCATAGAGATTCAGATTATTGTCTGCTGACCAGTTACTGAGTTCACTCAATTTTATCTGTAGGTTAAAATATGATTTTCGACTTTTGTTCTGGATAAGGGTCATGTCATCAACATATTTGAGGTATGTGTGTGGGGGTGTGTGTATGTATGTAATATTAAAAGGTGACGGAAAAGTAATCTGACAAAGAATTTCATAACCACTCGTGGTGAGACAAGCACCAGTAGAATTTGAGTTTCATTCACTTAACGTGCCCCATGCCTTAAAATCAACCTTCTCCGGTTATAGTTGAAACTGATAACAAATAGGCCTATTTGATATTTGATATTTTTTCGGGTTTCGAACCCAAGACCTTCAGATTGCCGATCGGATACTCTATCAACTGATCTGCGGTATGAGGCCAAGTGCCATACACCTTAGGATTTTCCCATAAGAACACGTTATTTTTTAAGGTATTGCGTAATACGCAATTATTAATAGTAGCGTAAATCACATGATAGTAACGTTGATATGGAGACACACCTCAACTGGTATTTTATTTTATTTGGTAGTGTATATAAAAACATAAAAGTAGATATTTACAAGCAATACAAATAAAACTAATAATCTGCTCTAAGCAGATAAACATAATATACTTAAAAATTAACGACGAAGAAAATATAATAAGAATGTATTATTGTTATATTTACTTCATATTATTACGTCTCTGTTATAAGTGGCTTTCAATTCTGTAACATCACTGCCGATAAAGGTGCTGACATATCAGTGATTTATTATTATTATTATTATTATTATTATTATTATTATCATTATTATTATTATTTGTATGATGATATCGAAATATTTACTGTACTTACGCTGATGTGAAATTTTCGTGTTTCTGTGTAGAGTGACATACTGGTGCTAGACTTTGGTTCAAACCCGTAATATTTTCTATTTTTGATTCCTTGAAATTAAAAAAAAAATTACTAAAAAAACGGCAACACGATTATCTATAGGCCTATTTAAAAAAAAGTGCCAAATCATCTTATATTTAAATATACTGTAACGAAAATGGGCTCACCTATGTTTACCCCCTACTCTAATAGATTCTGCCACCCAAAGAGGTGTGCCCTTATTGGTTAATGTGATGCATGAGATGATTCGAAGCAGTGATACGCGATAGCATCCCAAAAATAAGAATGCGCTGCAAACACCGTTTACCATGGATTAACAGAGACATCAAAAAAGTCATTAATAAGAAGCAAAAATGGTTTAGGAAAGCAAAAAGACTAAGAACCAATGAATCACGGGAAGATTATTAAAAAAAAAAAGTCAGCAATGAAGTACAGAACCTTTCAAAGAAGGCTTACAATGATTATTTGAACAACTTATTTGCCAAACAAGACAATAAGCGCAGCTTTTGGTCCTTTGTCAGAGACAGGAAAAATCAAAGTGTCCATCAACATACAACTATGCTGGGGAATCTGTTCATGAACCGGTACAAATTGCTGAATTATTTAATCAATATTTTGATTCTGTTCATGCTGAATCCGAAACAATACCCGACACTCCTCCAACTTGTGATCTACCGATTCCAGTACTCTCTGATATTCAACTTGACGTCAATTCCCAACATACTCTCTAAAATTAATCCTATCAAAACAGCTGGACTCGATGGCTTATCCACGTATCCTAAAGCTTGCTGCACACGCAAACCTACCAAATATTCTCAAAGACTCTGTAGTACTGGACAATTTTAATGTCTTTACTGCAAAATTGAAAGAACATTACAAAACCATTATCTAAATAATGTATTAATATTTGGGTGTGTGTGTGTATAGGTATGTACTGTACGTTTGGGTGTATGTGTGTGTGTGTATTTATAAATTTGTTTGTGTATTTTTTATTACCTTTTCCCCTTTTTAATCTTATAATTTTAAATTCTATTTTTTTGTTTGCAATAATGATTAACTCTCATTATTTTTTTAATTCTTCTGTTTTTCTTTCTAAGTATTATACATTTTCATTATATATCTTCTATTTGAAATTGCTGTTTCTCTAAGGATGGATTAACTAGCTTGTGAGCTACAGAAATTTTATTCGCTTTTGTTATTCCTTGCCTACTTAGATTTTCAGTTTTATTCTGTATTGTGAATTTTTATTTTACTGCATGTGCAAATTGTAATTTGATTTTTATAAGGTTAAATAAAGAATGAATGAATATTGTCCTGTTGACTGCAGTCGTATAAGGCTTTTCGGGAAGGCCAGTCCTGTTCCTTTCTTGATGTTGTCACACCACGTCTGTGTCCTCCCCCCTTCCCACCCTCTACAATACCTTGCAGTATTATTTTGGTAAGATTTTATGACTGATGGTGTGGCCAAACCTGTGTTCTGTGTACGAGATTCGGAGCAGTCTCCTCAGACATCTGGATTTGAACGCCTGGATTGTTCTTTCATCATCTGCCTTTATTGTCCAATTTCACATCCGTACAGCAGGACAGAGACAACTAGCGACCTGTAGAGCTTGAATTTGGACCGAAACCTGATGTCACTCTTCCAAATCTCCGGTCTCGGCATAGTAGGTAATCCCTGTACATCGACTGTATAATTTTCCTTCTCGTTTGACGTTTCTGTATTCATAAGCACCAGTAAACAACCAGCAGGCCTAATATCTCGTTCCGTTCATTCCATTCTTCATATGACCCAACTCAACGAGTTTATCTGCCTTACCTTTGTTTTATTTATTTCTTTTTATATTTTATTCAAACTTCTCATTTTGTTTCACTTAATATTATACTTATTTATTTATTGTATTTATTGCACTGTTAAGAAACTATTAGTTTTAAGTTTAATTATTAACATTTAAACAAGAATTAAACTAAAATTATTAATCGTTTTTTCTTTTTCTTTTTTTTTAGGTGGCCTGAGCTTAAGTGTCTCCTGACCTATACAGGCCTCCATTCATTTATCAATAAAAAATAATTTAAAAAAAACAATTTTTTTTCTCTTGTGAAATGTAAATAATTTATTGATGATGATGAATAAAACAGTAACAGTAAACGTAGCAGTAACCCTGTTTAATCTTATTATCGCTGATGTAGTTGTTGCGATCCGGACTTGGATATCTTCTGTCTTTAGACTGGGTGACTCCCAGGTATTAAAACTTGTTTGTGCTATTCACCATGATCTTGAATTTCTCTGTGCTGATTTCATTCTATATGCAGATGCTATTTCGGTGGGTTTGTGAAATCTTGAAGCTCGTTGTTGTTGCTCCCCATCCGGTCGATGTAGTCTGCAAACCAAAGATTATAAATTGGTCTGCCAAATCGATATGGAGGTGTGGTAGGCTTGGAGGGTCTCCTGCATGATTCTGCCTAGGAACAAGTTAAAGAGTACCGGGGAAAGAATGCAACCCTGTCTGACTTAAATTGCTGTTTGGAAAAGCTCTCCTATCTGGTTGTTCAAGAGGACTGCACTGCTGGAATGATTGTAAAGCACTGCCTCTATCACTTGGACAAGTCCTTCAATATTGTAGCCCCTGGGGATGTGCCAGAGACCATTGTGCCAAGCTTTGTCAAAGGCCCTCTAGAAATCAATGAAATTGTGGAACATCATTTGGTGTTGTAGATGTTTTTTATGAGGACCCTGCAGTTGTACTAGCACCTGGACTCAAATTTCGACTGTATCTTGTTTTATTGCTGACAATAAATCCTTGATTCCTTAAGATTCCAAAGACGAAGCAAATAGGTATTTCTCACATACAGGATTCCAAATAATATCAACTTGATGGAAACCATGTCCATCAATCGATCTTTCAACATGAGGTTAATTTGTAACCTGTTCGATTGAGGGACATACGCTTTATTCTCATATTGAAGAGTAGACGGTTTCTTATAAACAACTTCCATGAACTCATCAAATTAACGACCCTTTTCTCGAAAATTCTGATTAATAGCGAGCCACCAACTAGTTGGTCAAAAAGCGCGGTACCGTAACTCTTATACATAAAGGAGGAGAATTGAATAAACCAGAAAACTTCAGTATGATTTCCCTTACGTCATGTGTTGGTAAACTTTTTCACTAGAGCTTGTCCGATCGCATTGGCGAATAAATAATGAGAAACGGCCTCATTGATGAAAATACTCAAAAGGCATTTATCAAAGGTAGGCCTAAAAATAGTTGCGTTGAACACTCCTTCGTTATGAATGAATAATTAGCAAATGCTAAAATCAAGAAAAAAAAAACCTGAGCACATTACTTTCTTCGGTTTGGCTGAAGCTTTCGTGTCAGTCGAACAAAATTTGATTCACTACACCCTCTAACGAAACGGTACCCCAGAAAATATCTGTCTCTACGTAAAACATCTCACGACTCGCTTGAAAGCCAAGTCAGATGTAATCGTGCGAATCTGATACGTTTAAGTCTTCCAATGAAACCCACTATCTCCAATTATAAATTATTTCTATAGCAATATTCAGCCCTATCATCCACAAACTTAAATGCAAGGAAGACCGTTAAGGATACAACTTAAATGATGAATCACACATAACGCTTCCATTCGCGGATAGTTTAGCTTAATAAAAAAAAGCCGATAAAAGACAGCAGAAACATCCGTGTCGATGAACATGACAATTAAACCAATAAAACGTAAAACGCTATCGATTCGTAGCGAGAGGCCAGAAGAATGCTCTTTCAAACTGGGTGAAAATGAACTAAACTTCGAAAGAAACACCCTAACAATTTCTTGGAGAATGTGGCTGACGAAAGAGATATAAAAACAATATTAACTGTATTGTGATAGGCTTAGAGTTCAGGGCCAATTTTAACATAGCTTATGTAAATTCCACTTAATTACTCTACTCTAAGCTGTGGTCAAAGCCGTGAAAAGTAACCAGGATTTGATAAACAAACCAAAACAAAACTAAAGTATTGATAATAGTAGTGTATTAGGCTACAAGATGGATAAGCTTAAATAGAATTATAATTCTAACATATATATATATATATATATATAATTATATATAATTATATATAATTATATATGTAAGTATAAAGGCCTATATAAATATTCACCTTAATAACAGGAAAATTTATCTCCAAATCGATAATATATATTGTCTTATTGTTGTTGTTGTAAATATAGATGCTAACGATATCAGATGCACTTCTTAACTTTATACCAATACTGCAAATCAAAAAAAGAAACAAAAAAACAAACAAAAAAGAAAATTTAACCTGAACGTCTAATTATACTATTAATAACATAATACAATTAGATTCATCTTAAACGATTTACGCTTTTTTAACTGTTACAGAGGCATCAAATAAATTCACAAAAGACTGAAATTAAGCTTCTGCTGATAGATTAATTTTTACTGAGTAAAGTGTAATCAAATGCACAACGAACGCACGTAAAATTGTGAAGCGAACAAGTTCAGTCACTACTTACGAAGTTTTCAAAAGAAGGAATTCTTGAAGTGCAGTTAGATTTACATAGACTCTGAATGGTCCTTCTAGTTAATAATAAATAAAAGGTCATAAATGGCTAAACAATTCATTCTATATTACACTATATTATACTACAATTTACAAAGTGGGCGGGTATTATTAAAATGAGCCCCACCCCTAAGAAATGATTTTTCAAAACTCACATTAGAGTGAAAAGGAAAAAAAACGATAGCATATAGTCCCGAAAATTTTGTTTGGTTGCATTTTGTTTGCTATATTTTTAATTGGATATGTTGTAGAATAGACATTACTAAATATAAAAGTATAAACATTATGTGCAATCTTTTTTTTTTTTCATGCGTGCAAAGGTGGTAGCCAGCAATTTTAAAATGGTTGCCATTTTTAAACATTTTTATATATTTATTTATTTATTCAGGTATAAAAGGAAATATACAAACGGCACCCAAAGGCTGAAATGAATGTATTTACAAAAATAGAATATATTAAAAATCCAAGTATATTAAAAATATTATATATAAAATTGCAACAAGAAAATTGCCAACAGTAATTTCACTTATTATTATTGAAAACAATACCGAAAATATACAGCCTGGTTTTTTATTCGTTCCCTTGGCCAGCTTCAAACATATTTCAAACACTAATCACGGTTAGGGCGATTTTTACGGAGTTTATTTTGCGGCCGACGGTAACGTGTGTGGATAGAATTAAAAACCTGCTCATGAACTTAAACAAGATCTCTAATAGAAACCTGTACGGTAGAGGCAAACAAAATCATTTTGACATAAATTTTTTGACGCTAAGCGTAGAAATAACAATACACACCAACCGAAGTCGCGACTAATATCTGCGACAATAACACTGATACCTAATGTTGAATGCTAAGCACTATTTTACCATTAAATATACCCAACGACATACTCAAACTTTATGATGAACCAGCAGCAAATACATGGTCTGTTGAAAAAGGAAGGTCTGAAAAAATTGTAACAACTTACCGAAGAATGATCGATTAGACAAAAATATTAAAAACAGCCCAAATAAAATTCAACAGACTTTATTTAAAGTAGTCGTGACGTTATATTCGTACGATCATTCGTTTTTTGTCAAGCTTATGCCTCTAAAATGTGGTTTTTTTTTCTCGTTTAGATCTTCTATTTGTATTGACTAGCACACCTGTGTTGCCTTTCAAAAATGTCATAGGCCTACTGATTGTAAGTTCCAGAATGTAGATGCCTCCTCTTTTGTTGTTACCCATACCACTCTCTTTTAAATTCCTAATGAACATTCACGCCTAAGATAAGCCTACCCAGTATAGTGATCATTCATAAAATAAATTGTACGCGTTATACCTGTCTCTTATACACATC